CACAAATTAAAGATAAAAGCTGAATTTGGAGATAATTAAAGTTTTGATCTAATAACGAGATAAATAAAAGAAAAACTGTCAAGAAAACGATAAGGGGAGAAAAAAAGCTGAGACAAAAACAGAAGAGACAATAAAAAATAAACTTTAATAATTATAAAAGCGATAGTAATTATAATATTAATATCAGTGTTAATTGTTGTGTGGTGATATACAATAAGAGGAAAAAAGCATGTTTCTAAAAATTCATTAACGAAGAAATTTTTGAACACTCTGTGGACAATTTGCTCAAAAATTCTATACTTTGTTTTTGGCTCAGAGGTAATGTTGAGGTTAAATTTCACATACGTAAACACACACAAACATACACACAGACACACAGACACACACACAGATACATACATACTCAAACACAGACACACACTTACCCACATAAAAATATATGTATATATAGTGTTAAATATTTACATTCAAATATTTGCTAGGCTCCAAAACCGGTAATTTTTTTTGGTTGAAGAAAAAATAAAAGGGAGTAAAAGGAAACGTGATTATGTTTAAACTTAATGCTCAAACTACTGTTTAAAAAAATATGAATAAGAAACATTCAGTTTTTGTTTTATATTGCCTAACTAAATTTTGGGAGTAAGCTAAGCTAACCAGATAAAAGTAATAATAAAAAAATGCATTAAATTAATTGATTTTTTCAACAAAAGCTATACCGTGATTACTGAAAAATAAACATACGTAAATCTTCGGCACTAGATCTGCTAAGCAACCGGATAGGTTAAGGGACATCGTGAGTGCTGAGATTTGATAACCTCTTTTCTAACATCCGAGTCAAAAGCAAAAGTATTTCTAGCTTTTACTTTTCTGAATTTTCGTTTTTCCTTTTTCTGTTTTTAATAAACCACTAAACAATTAAAAATATAATTTTGCACAAACATGTTTACAGTTGGAGAAACAGTAAACGTATACATAAGGCGTGCAAACTTCAATACCAACATCTGACAGTTTGCGCAGATGTTTACACAAGTAAAGATAAATTTTTTTTACTGAGATTTTAGCTCACAATTTGTTACTATTAACAAAACTCTGAGACAGTTTTACTGAAAGCAAAACACAAAAAAAAATTTAAAAAAAAAGAAGAAAATTATTAAGAAGGAGGGAATACATTAGGAAAAAGTTGGAAGAACGACGATAGCGGGATAAATGTTGCCAGATCCTAGCAGATATCGGACGCAGTAATGATGTGAGTTTTTCAGCAAGTTTTGTTTGTCTGTTTTTTTTTTGTCTTTTTTTTTGAAGACATTAGAATAGATGATGTTTTTATGTTCGACGGTGTACATAAAAAGAGAGACAGAGGGATAGCAAAAAGGTTGCAGGTAGGAAACGAGGGTTACGGTTGCGGGGACGCAAAAGAATAGGTGGTAGGAGAACACAGAAATAAGGCACGGGAAATTGGAAAATACGATGATGCTCCAATAAATTACCTAAAGCAGACTTAATTCTGACTTAGTCAGTCGGTAACCAGAAGTCTAAAAATTCTGGTTTCAACTTCATATTTTTCCTGTGCTTTACAATTTTTTTATTTAAAAAGTTGCAATAAATTTTTAAAAAAAAAAGTGTTAGGAGAAAAATTATAATGGAGTAACTGAGAGTACAGTTGAATACTGCATAATTAAAAAAAACTGGAATACAAAAATGTTCTAGTTAGTGCTTAGACAATTTGTGCCTGACTTTTTTAGTGGGGGAGGAGAGAGGGAGAGGAGGAAAGGTTAGGCCTTTTTTTTATAAATGTTGTGGTATCAGTCTTCGCTAACACCACAGCTTCAAGAAACAGTTCTCATCTATCAGCATACAAGTTGTCTTCATCTGTTTTTATGTGGCACATCAACAGCATTTGAGGAAGTAAACCACATATACATATGTTATTTTCAGTTATTATTATTCTTTTTTACTTTTTGCTTATCAAACACCGTTCTCCGAAATAAACTCCTCTAACTGATAATGACTCAGGTAATGACTCCAGTCGATATCCTTAGATCTGAAACAGTTCCCTATACGAAGACAATTTTAATCTGCAGTAGGCAAATGAACTTGAAGAAAAAAGTGTAAAAGTAAAACAAAAATCAGCAACAAATAGCTTAATTTAAAATTTTATCAACAAATGGTTGAATTTTTTAGCAGCTATAAAGCTCTACCAAAAAAAAAAACGTGATTTCTACTCATTACGTTTGTGTGGGAAAAGCAATAAAGACGTAATAGAACTTACATTTGAAGCTGTTTAACGGTACTGGCCGTACAATAAGATTCTGTTTTGTAGTGACAATGTTTATGACAAACCAAACGACACTCTGAAATAAAAAGGGTCAACAATCTAAGACAAAAGTTAAGTATTCTGAAGCTCTAAGAGTTTTTAAGAAAACAAAGACTAATAAAAAACCCTTCAAAAGTTCTGGAAAATCTATACCTCGACATTGATATGCCTGCTTGATGAAACTCCGAGCAATTCGCCGATGGCAAACGTTACAAACTGTACCGCTGAAACAGGAGACAGTTCAACCGAAGAAAAAAAAACGATCTTAACGATAGTTAATTAAACTTGAAAGTTTTCCTCATGGCACTGACTTATATTAATAGACTGCGTCGTTGCAGTAAAACTTCTACGACTACTTAAAATGCATTGCTTAGCGAAGCGTCAGATAAAATACAGTTAATCAACAAAAAATTTTTGTTCACCATAGCCTAACAAACATACTTACCCCTTAATTTTAACAGCTACAAATGTGTGCTCGTTGTATATATGTAATTTTTTGCCTCGTTTGAATAGCCGCGTTGCTGCCGGCTCATTTACAATTGACGGCGGTATTAATATATGCCTAGAAGTTTCGATACATTAAAAGACGATTTGCGTTTAATATTGTCTTAAGTTTCGTTTTATAAGCGTACACTACTATTACACAAAAGAAAAATGCCTTTAAAAAAAAGTTACCTGGTTTGTCCGTTTTTAACAATTTCAAGAACAAGTGTACTGTGTTGATAAAGACTCTTTGTGGATACTGCAGATTTCCCGCCAACAGAAATTTCTTCGTAGTTGCTACGGCTTAATGGTCTCTCTGAATGTGAAACTTTCTACATATTCCGTAAATAATAAGTGTTGCAGGTACCAAAAGTAGAAGAATGTGGTAGAAATTTCAGACGAATATATCTATTATATGTTTGAGAAGTGATAGGCGAAAAAAAACAGAGTTTACAGAGAACTTAGTTTACCTGAATATCGTGCCTGAGATTGATCTCGGGACGGAGGCAATGATACAGCTTCTTCTAACTCGTCATTCAATTCAACACTTTTTGCCCGTGTTTTTGACCGTCCTCTGCTGCTCAAACGATGCCTTAGCCCGCCGAAAAAGGACCTTCGCTCGCCCTGATCGTCATCGCGATGTTTTTTTTTTCGATCTACAAAATCTTTTTTACTTTACCAGTTTTAAAATCCAGAGAATTTTATTCAAAAGTAAAAAATTTAATTTAGTTGGTTTTTCTATTGACTTTTTATCAAAACAGATTCTGGCTTAAAACAGACAAAGTAAAGATGAGCAAAACCTCTAGATAGTCGATCTTCTGGTTCTGCAGCTTCATGTCCTGCTTCTGGAACTTCTAATCTACCTTGTGTCGGGTCCGTACGTGAAGCAGGTTTCAACGTTTCTGGGCTATAATTACGTGTTCATGTGATTGTTGTGTAAACGATATGTCATTGGATATGGAATTTTAAATTAATTTTTGAACAATAATAGCAACAACTTTGTTTCATCGAAAGTAAGTAACCTTGCATTTTCTTAATCATATGATTTAAGTGTGTTATTCCAAAAATGTATCAAGCATTAGCTTATCTCAAGTTTTACTAAAATTTCACCAACTATTCAAGAAGTTACGAAGACATACAATGAAGTCTTTAGTTACTTTAAAAATCATATCAAAAAATAATGCTGAAGATAACTGGTCACCGTTTGATCGCAGCATACAAATCTTCACTTGGTTGCTGCTGTTGTTGTTGTTGTGGTTGTTGCTGTTGTTGCGTCCGTGAAAAAGTTGAATCAATTGCTCGGGCTGTTGCCGGATCCACAGCATTTTCCATTGAACCGTGCACAGATGATATCAGTGGCTTATCTTTCACCTGCTAAAAATAATGATTCAAAATTAGACAAAAATTGAAGTTTAAGTATTCTCAGAAGAGCATCATTTTTAAAGGCATAAATTTGCACCTGAGAGACGGTTTTTACAACGAGTGTGGTAGTTTTTGTCGGTATGATATCGTATCCTTCGTAGCCGTCAGATATGTCTAAAGTGGAAGAACCTTCCAAATTTGTTGCTTCCTTTTATTTTTATAGTATTTTAGAAAAAAAACTATCTTTCTGGAGTTGTTTAACGAAACATTGGTAGACCTGATTAGATCAGGGCTATTATAGCAGATCTTAGTGAGAAATCTATCGTAAATGCCGATTAATGCAATTCTCACCTTCATCTAATAACTTGGAAAGAATTATTATTTAACAAACTTCAAGGCACTCAACTAAAAGTCTTGATAAAGATCGCTGACAGTTATTCCACTTATTTATATCAATTCTTGGTATTTTTATTACAAATTCCGCTAATAATTTTAACGAAAGAGCTACCATGAGGGTCGTAGATGGGTCGTTTGCTTGTGCTTACCGTCTCTCGAAATTCTGCTCCATCACTGTTACGAACCGTTATTTCATCCACTTGCTTTCCGATAGTTGTCACATTTGGATCAAAGTAAAAATCAAACTGAAAATGCAAAACATTATAAGAAGTTTTTAAACAATGTTGAAAGTTTGATAATTAAATAGTTCTGTAATTCAAAAAACTGTAGCATTACAACATCAGCGAAAATAGTTATTTTTAAGTTGTTGTAAAATATGCTTCAGCTCCGCTAAAGTCAAGAGTAAAATTTAAATGCTTGCCTGAACTGTTAAAGTGCCTGAGACTTTGTCATTTCTGTAAGGTCGTCCTTGAAGTGTTAATGTGTGAATATTTTCGCCAGATCTGCGAATCTCTTCGAATCCAACGATCGCCAGACCAAGAAAACGATGCTCTTCCTCGGCGTTTGGCGTATCTTCGTAAATTTCAAACAAGATCTCTTCAGAAGCTGGCGTTAATTCGCTGTAATTCTTAGACGCTGTAGGGGTCAAGAACAAGCCACTAATTTTCAAAATTCTTACAACTTACAATTCGAAAACCTCTTCCCAGTAAGGACTCGTGTTCAGCCCTTTGCTTGTTGTGAACTTTTGTGCGGGTTCATCCATCTCAATGACAACGTATGGCTGATTGACATCTACAGTAATAACAGCATAGGTCTCAAAAGAACAAACTTTTTGGCTGTGTTTTACCAGCTTCTTAAAAAAAAAAAATGGAAATTATCTGATATTTCTGTGAATTTGTAGTATACTGTCTTTTACTTCAATAAATACCTACCAACGTCTCTACCTAGACGCTGAGCTCGAATAACTTTCACTCGCAGTTTGTTTGGCAACGTGCTCAAGTTTGTATTTGGTGCAATAAGCTGTAAATATTGGTTTACAAAGCGTTTAAAAGCTGGAAAATAATTCTTTAAACAAAGGTATTAACATTAAATTTGTTTAATTATTTGCTTTTACAGAATTATCTTGAGAATTGTAAACTCTTGACTACCGTAAACTTTGGAATGTTTGTTATTATTATTTTAAGAAAGCAATACGAAAGAAAACTGTCATATTAAAAAAAAAAATTAAAAAGAATTTCTTGAATAATTTTATTTCAAAAGAAAAAAGTACAAGAGTTGCTTAGTTGTCCAATGAAGTGCATAAAATTTGTTTTCATTCGTTTTGTTTCTCACAGACTACTATAAGTGTAAAAAAACAGCTCATCCTTCTTAACCAGTAAAAATAATTAAAGCGATAAGATTATAGTGCAGAAAGGATATGAAATTTGAAACTAAAATCAAGTAGCTACATAGGATTGGTTGAGTCGTCTCATCATTTCTTGGACAGGCGCTGCTACCGTTGTAGACGAACGATCATCTGGTTGAACCTGCTGAGAAACTGACAGTGCTTCAGATAGCGAAATGTTTGTCACTGCCGAAACCAAGCAGCGCCTGATAGTTTCCTCTACAGCATCACTGTTCACAACACCAGCCTAAAAACTCTTCTTGCTTTTAGTTCAACAATCTTATGCTGTATTTAGCTAATGCACTTTCTGACAGTTAACCAACTGCTACAACTCAATCAGATTAATGTCTGGCATAGTTTTTGACCTGTCCTATTCCACCAGGCTGTTTCTACACCTTATCGCAATCTGTTACTGTCTACTCTCATGAATGTTTTCGACTTTACTACGCGAAACAAACGAAAATCATGTACATAACAGTTTATTAGTGCTAATAGCTTCATGCAAGAAAAAAAAAGTCTTAAAAATTTTGTCAATTGCTCTTGTTCAGGCAAGCTTACAGTTTACTATAATCTTCAGGTACAACCTTCTATCTCAGGTTTCTCAATTGTCATTTAAAATTTTCATCGATTCTCTGCCACCCTCTTAGTGGATGCTAAGAAAAAGTTCGAGAGAGGTCAAAACCATGTACTTTCTAACCTTGTTTTTCTTCGCCCACTACTACTATTGAATCTTCTTAGTTTAATGAGCCATTAGTCTTTTCAGAAAATGCAAATATTTAGTTTACCGCAGTCGAATCTGTGTTTTTCAACGAGATTTCGAGTTCCGGTCTTCCAGTGAAGCATCCCATCAGATAGATTTGATTTGCAATACATGCCACTCTTGACTCAACCTAAATCATAGTTTCAAAAAACCTGTCATCTTGAATACTGTTAGCTGCTGCCGCATAGCTTTTTGACAGTTCTAACAGCATGAAAAGCTTTAACAAAAAAGTTCAGCTGTACAGCTATGATTTCTCAACAGGTAACAAGAGCAACAACAGTAACTACAGCACTGTAGCAAATTTTGGTTGCTGAAAATTTAATGATATAAAATTTGATAATTTTAAAAGTTAAGTTTTTTTCTAAATTTACAGAGACTTCTGGTTAAATACTTGTGACATTTTACTAATCTCCATTATCGATTTGATATTTTCTGAATCTCAACTTTTAAGGCGCTCCTGTCATTCAGAAAGTTATAGTCGTAAACTTGAAGTGATAAAAATTTTTAGTTTGACCTATGTCGCCTTGAAGCTTTTAGCTTACTCTACTCCAGTCAATTTTGCGAAATTACCAGAAGAATGTGAAAAATGATTGCCAAAAATCATAATTTTAACAAATTTGGTAAACAACGCTTGAAAAAGTGTCTGTCAAACAACAGTTTATGAAAATCTTTCACTGATCTCCCCAGCTCTGTAATTCTTCACAAGTAGAAAAACAGCACCGACCTCACCATGTAAATCACGTATCTGGGCATCATAGTTGGTAAAAAGCAATCGGTCATCACTCCTCTGCGAACTGACCAGTTTTAAATTAATTTCTGGTACTATTATCCTTGTTTTTATTGTCTAAAACAAGTTATAATTACAGTTTCGCAAAATTTTTCAGCATTAAAAAGCAACCCAAACCCTTTCAGGGCAAAAATAAATTTTGTTGCAGAAAAAAAGAGACGGTTTTGAAAAATTCTTTAATCATACCAAGTGATCTCGTGGGCCTTGTTCAACTGTAATCTGCGTTAACTTTGGTGGTTTTTGAACATGCGAATTATCGCCAAATCCTTCAAACAGCACTTCACACTTTGACTGAAATTACAATAATTATTTTTTAACCTGTTTTGCTTTCAAGAGCAAAAATTTTGTTGGTTATTTGGCAGTTCCAAAAGCACAAAATCTGAGCTTGTTATGAACAATCACTAACCGATGATGCAAGCTTCTTAGCAGCCTCATTCAATGAGTTTATCCATGCGTCGAGTGGCTCAGGCACTCTGTGCATGTTCGTAAATAACCACGCAAGAATTTCGTTCGTCCATTCGCTCGTTTCGGCTCTGCAAGTGCCAACTGAGCAACAATTCTTTTTTAAAATGTTCTACAGTTTGGACCATGAAGTCATGGACTCTTAAAAACCAACAAATAGAACAACTTGATTTTAGATCCCTGCATAGGCTAGATTTTAGCTTTTTTTTTTTACTGCGACAAGTAAAAAATGACTTCAGAAAACGGACAACATAACTTCATTCGGTAATGCCGATTTTAACAGATAAACATTAAGTTACTGTTAGGTCATTGAAAAAGCTAAGACAGTGCTCAGTAATCGCTGTTATTTATACCACGCTGTGAGCGCATTACTTCTATAAGGGTGATGTTACAAAGGCATACAGAATAGCCTTCACTAATTGATTATCTAAATTTTTTATCTATTAAAAAAATACAGTAAAAAATCTGATAATTCTTATGAAAACATTTTTCTACTTTTTTTCCACTGTTTTCTTGGCGGTCATTTTTTTTAGTTTTTAACACTCGCCTGCAAGTTACAGTCGCTGTAATCAAATATATTAATACATCTGCTGCCCAGTGCCTTTGATACATTTGATACTCTTTTGTTTTCAATGAGCTTAGTTTTATACATCAAAAGTTTTTCCTCTTTCATCCCTCTTCTCTTCTGTCCCCCAATCAATCAAGTGACAATGATTAAATTTTATATAGAATTGCTTTTTTCAGATATTGCTGATTTTTATTGAGATATACTGTGATATCGGTCAAGAATTAAAGGTAAAAAATCAAAAAATGTTTCTAAGTCTGCTAAAGATTACTTAGGTTGTAAGAATTGAAAAAATTTGTGGCCTGCAGATGAAAAGCTGTGGAAAGCTGTGGAAAGCTATAAGCTACTAGTGTTGAAAGGCAAAAAATTGAATGAAATGTACTATCAGTGTTAAAACGCAAACACAAGCACGATAAAATTCATCGATCAGCTATTAAAAATTTTTGGTTGAACAAGATTTCGGATGAACGTTCTAGAAGATTGTAAAAGTTTTAATCATTGCTTGGCGCTCGCCTTTGCACATAACAAACCAAAGTAACAGTCAGTCAATCATTTATTCAACCAAAAAATTAGTCAGTTAGTCATTCAGCTAGTTAGCCAACTTTTTGTGTTGTCTCTGTTTGAGGGATTTAGATTTAAGGACTGGCAGAGGGGAGGATGAAGGAGTGGGAGGAAGCAAGCTATATGACAGCCGATATTGTGTAACAAACGGTTTTAATAGCGCAGCAACGGTCCATAAGGACACACAGCCGCAAGCGCACAGGCTCGAAATCACAGAATTTGTTGCTTCTAGCTCTACAAGCTTAAAACGAGCTAGCAAACAGTACGACTAAATAAAACAAAATTTTTTTGCTGAAAAAAGCATAGCACTCATAATGTCATATCTCTTTAACACAAACACATATTCTACAGCTACTAGCATTTTGAAGCTGGACGCAAAGACACAGGAACGTGTTTCTAAACTATAAAGCTCTGACTGGAGATGGCAGCACCGCATTTCTTCACATTTGTTGCAGATGTAATAAAATATATGTTGAGAAGCCATTAGAAATAAGGAAGTAGCAAATGGGAAAGATGTAATTCTGCTTTAAATAATAATAATAACAATAACAATTAGTAATAGTTTGTATCAAAAATATACCATACCGCGCTGCGGTGGAGGTCGTTTCAACTGTACCGGCGACTGTTGTTGGAGATTTTCCTGTTGTTGTTCCTGTTGCTGTTGTTGCTCCTGCTGATGGTGTTGCAGTCGCTGCACTAAGCTTATTGAGGATAAAATAACAGAAACCTCCAACAGCGATCCAGGAAAGAATCAGCCAGGACAGTCCATCCATAACGTTTACCCCGCTGCTGCGCTCTGAATTTTCAACGGGTATTAATGAGTCAGATGATAGATCCATGTACGAAGTTATCTATCGCTAACAATGACGTTTCTTTTTTTTTTTTTAACGTTATTATGGTAATGTCGTTGGTTGTGGTGGCAGTGCTGATGGTGGTTGGCAGTATTGCTGACAACAGTAGTTCTAGCGACCGATGACCAAAAATTTAGAAACTTAACAGTTAATGGTCAAAATATTTTTCGTTGTTTTTAACTGGAATGACTATCCAAATAATGATTGCTGAATATCTTCTTAGTTTTCTTAAAGCACCGGGAGTGCGTAGAGCTATTTTTCCCAGCTCCTTCTCCACCTCCCATCCTCTCCTTGCTAAAAAAAAATCCTCGAGATTTAAGCAACAGATGCTTGGATAATTAGAAGGAAATAAAAGTCTAATTTTATAGGTCTCAGAATTCTGTTAAACTTTACACATTCTTAAACATCCAATTTCTTTGTAACCAGAATAGCAATAAAGCAATAACTGAATGCTGAGGAAGTGGCAACAGAAGAAGATAGCGAAGAAGAGGAAAGAAAAGAGAAGAAATAAAGAAGCAGAAAAAAGATAAAAGTTGAGAAAAAAGAAGTAAAAAAACTTAATTTAACAGTCAAGAATTGTTCGGAATCATTTTATTGTATTTATTTTTCCAAATTAATCATCCAAATAGTTCTTCTTTCTGTTTTGAGGTTAGAATTTCGCTGCTTTATTCATCCTCGTACGCTTAAAAAAAAGGAAAAAAAACAGTTGATTATTACCACAAAAATCTCATTTTATTCTTTCTATCCTATTTAGAGAAACGAACTTAGAAGAGGGAAGAAAAAATAGCGAATAAAAATAAAAACAATTACATTGTATACTGAAGAAAATTTTTTCGTTATTTTGTATAGTTTTATTAACTTCTCAAACTTTTCAGAGAATGATAAGAATTTGATGTTTTTTTCGTAAAGTCTACTGACTTTGTTATCTATCTTGTGGTTCTAAAATTTCTCAAATCTGCAAAATAGTTGTAGGTTTCAAAAATGCATCTAAAGAATGAAAAGAAAACAAAAAGAGAAAAGCTGAAATAATAGTAATTTACCTGAACGAGCCACATTTATGATAACTCCCGGTATATCAATTAGACAGAGCAGTTTGAATGATTGTATTGCTTTTTACTATTACTAATGATTACTGCTACTGTAGTTGACGCTGATGCTGCTGCTGCTGCTACCGCTGCTGTTGTCAATGATGCCAAATGAAGAAAGTCAAGAATCAATGCGTAGAAAAAAATATTAATGTAACATTTGAAGATTGTATGACCGGTAATTGGAATAGAAATTTTTGTGGCGTTTTAATCCTGATGCAAAAATTTTGGGGATGTTTCAGTGGCGCGGATAAAGGATTAACAAAATACACGCATACAAACACTCACACACTCACACAAACACAGCACACGTATCAGACAGACAGGTGCACCATAGAAGATGACGATGATGCTGAAGAAGTTGATCAGATGATGTTGGATGATGTAGTTGTTCAGTAAAGGCGGTAGGTATATAGTATAATATAATGGGTATAATGATGATGAAATTGGTGATAGTGGTGGTGGTGGTGCTGGTGGTGGTGGTAGTGATGATGATGGTAGTGGTAGTGACGGTGAAACAAAAGAAAACTTTTATGTACCACTGAGAAAATGAGTAAAAGCTACCCAACAAAGTTGACTGTTTTTTAAGAGAAATGAAGATTCTTAGTGCTGATTTTTTTCTATTTTGCGTGGAGAAGAGCCTGAAAACACAGCAAAGCTTTTCGTCTTCAGCTGTATGTGTGTTTATGTGTGTGTGTTTGTTTGTGTGTGAGGTGTATATGTGTATGTATGCTGTTTGGCTGTGAGGATAAAGCAGAAGATGAATAAAATAAAGAAGGAGAAGAATAAGACGAGGAAGATGATAAAGGAAAAAAAAATATTTTTTTTTACAGAACAGAGCAGCAAGAAATTTTTTTATGTAAAAGGTTCATCATCATCCCCGGGCAGGCAGAAAAGATTTTGTTGTGTTAAGAAAAGATGATTTTTTTTAAGTGCAGAAGACATTAGACTCACTTGCTAGTTCTAATGATTAGAGATTTTGCCCGTGATACCTCATCAACTCGACATTTTTGCACTGCATAGTTTTTTTTTTCTTTTTTGCTCGACTTATACAAATTATCTTCATTCTCACTTATAGCCTTACCCTAACTGTCATGCCCTTCATCACCAGTTATTAGCATTATCCGCTAACACTGACTTACACTCTCCAGTAATAGCAGCAACAACAATAGTATTGACAGCAAGAAACCCAGAAATCAGTAAGGAGTTCCAATTGCTGTTCACGATGATATTTTCAAAAGACTTGATTTTGTAGTACAAACAACGGGATACTGGTGAAGTTTGACAACAAAGCGGAAGTTTAATGTTTTTTCCAATGAATTTGTTTCGGCTAACAAAGCAGTAATCAATTAGTTTACCAAATATTTTTTGTTTCTATGTGTACGGCAAGAGCTGTTTAGTTTATTTTTTATTTGTTTATATATTTTTTAAAAGATACAAAAAAAACTGTTTTTGATTTTCAGTGTTTGGTTTAAGATACATTTTTTTGTTAGAAAAGTTTATAAAAGAAGATGGAAGAAGAGAGGAAATTTGTCGAAAATATTAAGGAGTTACTTGTCATTTACTTTTTTCTTCAAAAATTTTTGTAATTAAATTACATTAAAAAAAAAAAATACAAGCAAAAACTAATACTACTCTAAACAAAGTTAAGTGGTAATCGTAGCAACAAATTTCCTTAAGCCATCAGAATTGCACCTTTGACCTCTGTATGTATCTGAAAAAGTTGTTGATTGTTTCAAAATTATCTGGATTTGTCAACAGCTAACATTTCGTTTTGTAAGTTTTTTTGTCTGTTTTTTTTACTGCTGTTTATTTTGAAAAATTCATGTTGGTACATTCACAGATATGCCAAAAAAAGGAAAATGTAAATGATTATTCATGAGAGATTTCAATACCGTATTGTCGTTTTCCGTGAATATTTATAATAAATTAACTGTTTGTTCGTTTCCAATTTTTTAGACTTTTATTCATCTATAGTTTCAGCAAAGAAAAAAACAGTTAAAATAAAGGAACAAAACATTAGTAAAAGAAGAGCGAAAACAAAAACAAAACAAAACAAATGTTTAGCATTAGAATAAGTGCAGGGAAAAAAAGAAGAGCTGAAAAATGATGACAATGCGATAATAATTGCTGAAGAAAACTACTTTTTAAAAGCATATTAATTTCTATTTTTCTTTGCCAAAGATTTAAGAATTATGAAGTTATTTTTTGCTCAGTTTATGCTGCCGTACCCTCTTTTTCGACACCACTTAATAGATGCAGCAATAATAACACAAAAATACGTATAACACCATGGAAAAATATGATCATCAGCCTGCTCAAAATTTTTTTAGTTTCTTATTTTTCGGTTTCGTTTTGCTGCTTTCAGTTAGCTACGTATTTTCTTTGTTGTTGTTTTTTTTCTTATCACACAGTTTTGCTCTCAATATTTTAGCGATGGCAAATAGATGCAGTAAAAACAGCATAACTGTAGGTTGGTTACATCAGTATTAGCAGCGCCACTACCACCACCACCACCACCAACACCAACAGCAGCAACAGCAGCAACAACCGCGGCAGAAGCAGCAGTAGCAACGGTAACAGCCATAACAGCACTGAGAACAAACAACAGCAGTACACTATCTGTATCTGCGAGATTTTCCTCAATTTCTGTTTTTTCGTACATAACACATAACCATCAAGCTAAGAAATTAAATCACCATCTAGACTTGATACACTCAAAAATGCTACCGTTTTCATCCTTACTCATCTATTTCATTATCACAGCTCCAAAAATTAGTTAGGTAGCGAAAAAAAAAAAAGAAAGAATAACAAGATGAAAAAGTGCTATATTTTTGTGGTTCAAAGCCAAAAATATTATCATGCAATTATCCGAATTAATTGACTTTAACAGTTTTAGCGTCTCTCAAAAACTTCTAACCTACAACAAGGTA